CTTCCTGGAGGTACACCACACTCATCCATCCGTGTTCGAAGCGTTGGAGGAACGAGTCTCTAGTTTGCAGAGAGTACGAGTAGAGAGTACCTTTGTAAATCTGTTCATGGCAGATCACAGTTCAGTTCAGCTAGTTGTGAGTAGTGTAATTGGTCGAGCCAGGCACAGCATGACGGCATGTTGTTTGATGACCAAGGCAGCCCCTTCATTATTGGCAGCTTTGGAGGCCAGCTTTGAACGAAGGAAAGCACAAGAACATGCAAGAGCAAGCCTAACTACTGTATATATTTATATTAGATTTACAAAATATGGTAGAATGCAGCGGCCCAGCAAGTTTTGGATTCCATTAACCGAAGGAACTCCTTTCAGCGGCATTGTCAGCGCTTGGTAGCTGAACCAGCTACCGTGCAAGTGTTGTCAATTTGTCAACAAGTTCCGTGGTTGGTAGTATACTTATAGCCATGATATCATCCAGTATCTTCTGAGCAGCCACTTGCAAATGCGAAGTGCCTGTACGGCCTGAGTTGTGGCCCGTACCCTTGAGTATGCATGTTTGGTGTAGTCGTAGAGGTAGGCTTCGCGCACTCTGCAGGGACTTCGGCTCGTCCAAACAGTTGTGACCCTAGAGCAAGAATTGGCACATCCTTGACTACGCTTGTCAAAGGAAGGTTGTCAAGGCACTCAAAACACTCATGACTCGTGGCAACCATTTGAAGCAATTGTCGCGCGTGACATCTGCACTGAGGTGCATGATGCCTATGGTCAACCACGCTTTGTGGTGCTGGAAGTCCTTGATAAGGCTTTGGCAAGATTTCTTGGATTGAACGTTTCCTGGGGCCATTTTGGCCCTTCTGTGCGAGGCAAGTCGAGTGGAGGATTCAAGAGAGAAAAAGCGCTTCATGTTCAGTTCAGTTGAACGGTTTGGACACTTCTTTGTTGAGCTACAAACTCGGTAGACCACAAGCAGCATGTTCATCGAGTTGGGGTTTGCAATGCCAGCCACAATCCGTGTCCATCATTCGAAACCTTGAGGACCTTGCAAGAAGTTCATTCGTACAGCATATTTCCCATACTTTCCCATCATGTCCGATAGAAGTTCAAGCGCATGGTGGTCATGCGAAAATTTTCCCACAAAAAAGCACCTGCTCAGAGTTTTTAGCCCAGATCGAACAACATCTCAGGCAAGAATTGACTCCCTGAAAGCTTTTGGAAGACCTGTTGATAAAGTCACTTGAACTGCCTTCAGGGGTGGGAAGGCTGTGAAGGTTGTCTATACTATCTATGATATCTATGCTTGTGGAGAAGGGGAGGGTGTAGGCTTTTGCACACTGGTATGGGTGCAGTTCAGCATTCAGCAGGGTTTCTTCTAGGAGGACAGCCTAGCTATGTTATATTTAATTTATGCAGAGGAGGGCCTCCTAACTTCAAAAATCGCAATCCAAAGAAGACAGCTCACATTTGGGATGTGCTGTAGCAATTTTGAGGTGCCGGCTGGGGTGTGGGCTGGGGAGCTCGGGTCAGAATTGGCGGAAAGGGCCGGATCACTTTTCTCTTTGATCCTGGTCGATGGATGTGTTTCTGTTTGATGACTAATAAGAGATGATGAACGGCTTCCCACAGAGATGGACGGATTTGGAGAGGTCAAAGGACAAAGCACATTGCGTGTAATGTGTGTATGTGTAATCTCGATAAGTATTGATATTCTAATATACAGTATTTTACCGAGTTTTATCATGTTTTATCTACGGTTGCTAACAACTTGAATGTGCGTGCATATTCTTCTCGCCCAAATTTTCTTGAGTGTCCTTCGCTGCAAGGCTTCCGCCATTCGGTGATACGTAGCAGTCCTTGGCTTTTGTCGGGGTCCCTTGGACCGAATCCCGGCGAAGCAGATCAGGAGCCTGTTTGGGACCCAACAGTGAGGGGAACCAATCCATGTGCGTGTACTGTATATAATACATATACATATATATAAGTATAGTTATTCATATTATATCGTGTGTATATATATATATGTGTGTATATTCATAGATCATGCCATAGATTGCATAGATGGTCATAAATCCGTCTGAAACCAAGTCACCAAGATGTAGACTTTTGGGTGAGCCGGAAGGGCAACATCATGGCTTGCATTTGCAAGCAGTCATGAACTTAAAGAGAACGACCCAAAGAACAAGGTGCCGCAGCATTCAGACGCTCAAAACCGCCCCTCCTCTTCTGCCCCAATCCGCTCAGCATGGCACGTGGCCACCGCAGCATTCTGGCGCCTGTGCTGGTTTTGGCCTGCTTTTCTTCAGCTTGGCCAAAAGCACCACCGGCTTGCTATACTGAAGAAGTCCTCCGCCTGTTCCTGCACATGTTGGAGAAGCTCCGCCTCTTCTACCACCAAACATCAAGAAACCCATTGAAACCCAACCTCATGGCAATCTCTGAGAGGGACTGTGCATCTAGTGTCAACTGCACATATGTGTAAAACCCAAACACTTCGCCCCACAAAATGCCAAGGAGACAAGAACTGTATACTTGGCAGACCATCCCCTCACCGCATCTGCCCGCCACAGGCAGCAGCCTGGACCTTTGTTGCGCCACCCCGGGCAGAGCAGGTCGCCCCAGCTGCGCTGCTCTCCGCGTCCGCCGCAGCGCTGGCGCCTGCGGCAGCACAGGCCATTGAGCTGCCGGAGGAGGGGAGGTGGGTTGGGGCGAGGATGCGTGGAGTTGAAGAGAAAGAGTGTTCGACAGGCAGAGGAGAGGGAGGGGGAGGAGAAGAAGTGGAAGCAAGGCAAGTTTGAATCGAAGATGACAGAAGTAAAAAGCATGGAGAAGTAATTGTGCAGGTTGGTTGATCGCAGAGAGAAGATGACAAAAAGGAACCATTCGCCGTTTTGCCTGTTGTCCACCTGAAGCCTATCCCCAAAAAGGAGCTGGGCTCCAGCGTGAGCATCGCAGCCCCGTTGGAGACCGTGATGTTGGGCATTGTCTTGGGTACCGTGCCCATCACCGTCTTCGGCCTGTTGGTCTCCGCCTGGTTGCAGTTCAAGAAGGGCCCTACCTTGGGTATTTGAGGAAAGGGCCGAGAGACGGGAGATGGAGATGACAAGAGAAAAGTGAAGGGGGGTGACTTGACTTGAGAGAATGCCCCAAGAGCAAACAATCATGGGTGGGCATTCTCTGAGGAAAGATGGATGATAAAGTGACCCTTCGGAGTAAAGATGGCTCAGACGTTGAAGCTACTGTAGGTTGTTTTCGATTCATCCGGCCATGGTGGGAGCTTGCACCAAAGTCACCTAGGTCACGTCACCTGGGTGTGGGTGGAAGAAATCTTGCGTATATCGGATATTGATGTATATTGATGGATAGTGCACAGTGAGACCCCGAAGGTGGTGGGAGCGCGCGGATACGGAGTTTGCACTTTCGGGTGCAAGATTACTTTCATCATTTTTCACCAGCACTAGCCCACCTAATGTACAAGAAGCTACTGGTAGTAGGTTGGAGGCCATCGCGGCTATTACTGCTAGTAACAAGAAGCTATAGCAGTAGCGATGCGTAAAGCAATACAGTGCGAACAGTTCAGTTGCTGGGCGTTCCGATGAGGAGCCTCCTAAAGTTGACGACCTGAGGGGCACTTTTCCGCAGACGTCTGAATCCTGCCAGCACGTGCGCTGTTGAGTTCGTACTCAGAGCGCGCACCATTTAGCGATGGTAAAAGAGAGAGGATGGTCTTGGAACCAGGCTTGCCAGGAGGTGGAAATCACCGCGGTACCCAAGGAAATTGTTTGTGATGAGATGATTAGCTTTGATCATTTTTGATCAATGTTTCTTGCAAAGAGCATGAGCATGGAAGAAGAAGTACCCATTAAGACAGGACCTTTTCCAATCGGATTTCATGCGCTCTTGTAGCTGGCTGTTCGGCGCATACTGATTGGCATAGAATTGGCTACGCATGTGTATGCTTTGCCAAGACCCCGCTCTATGCTGCCGTCAGTGGTTAGGCTATCCCCACTGTGTTGATTCAGCTCATGAGGCTATATAAATAGAGAGAGAGATGGCTGTCATTGGCTATCAACTGTAGAGCCAACAAATATTGGAATTAGTCGTAATACGGCCCGATTGCCTTTGTTTACACAACGTTGTTGTTCTTCTTGAGTCGTTAAGACCCATTCCCAAACCAAGAGTTCTGACAATGGAGGCTGCACGGCTCCGACAGAAAGGCAATTAAGCAAAGTTTAGGTCTTGCTGACTAAATGTCCTAGCCGTCGTACTGCCACCCAGAGACATCAAGATCCTGTGCTAGTTTGCATGTATCATTTTTTTAAGAAGCTACTAGTAGCAAAGGGCATCGCTACTAGGAGCAAGGACGCTACTAGGGGTGCTCCTGGCCTCACCACTGGGAACAAAGGACCCTCTAGTAGCAAAGGGCATAGCATCTGAAAAAAAGGGAACATGAGTGCTCGGTTGATCCGACTTGCTCATGTGTTGGGTCTTTGGGCCGATGATTCCCTGAGGTTTGGGACCTCATTGAAATTGTCCCGCTGTTGACGTTTGAACTTCATCCTGGGCGATGCCGGTCAGCCCGTCAGAGATGTGAAATGATTGGAGGCAGTGGCAGAGATATCAGTGATCGAAGTTTCTCCAGTATTGTATAGTTTTTCCAGTTTTTCCATGTTCTTTAAGGTTTTCAACTACCTGTTTTGTTCGGCTGAGGGTCCGCTTGGCTGCAGTGCCTTCCTCAACCTGTGATTTGATTTGCTGCATTTGATTGATTTGTGTCACTTTTCGCACCAAGTATGACTTGCAAAGGTTCCATCGAAGGGCCAAACCCTCTGAGATGCGGCACTCCTGTAGGGAAAAATGCAGCCATGCCAAGCTTGTGATTGGAGTTGACTTTGTGGCCGCAAGAGTCTCAAGAAAGTGAAGCAAGGGGGCTCTAATCAAAAGAAAGGAGGTGCAATGTGAATTGATTGGAAGTAATAAATGTATATATATATATACGGTATATACATGTTGAACCATCCTTGTAATCCTGTTGTGAGGTTCTTGCAAGTGATGTTTGCCTGGAAACCGTTGAAATGGCTATGTGGATATATTTGGAAGCTGGATGTGTTCCTCAGATTTTTAGGATCCAAACTCGCACCCATTCGGAAGCGATTCAGTTTTCGTCACGGTCCGGGGCTTGGGCTGAGAATTCTCATAGCAACGTAGATTAGGAAAAAACAGAGGACAAATCTATTATTGTGACATCATCACGCACCGAACTGCACCGAACTAGGCTTTCTTCAACATTTGCGGCCTTCCACGCGGAATGGGTGACAGCAGCTATCCTAGAAGCCTAGAGACACCCGAGGTTGTACTGAACAATCAATCATTGCATTGTGATGCATGTCCAGCGATGAGGCTCGTCGAAGGTTTGGATGTACGACCAGGCTGAGTGCCACTGGTCGCTTTAATCCTGCTAGCGATGGCCTCCAAGCTACTAGCGATTGTTTGTGAAATTGTGTGAAGTTGATGCTTGAGACAGATCACTTGAGACAGATGGAGCACATGCATACGAAGAGGTTGTCGACATGTGGCCAATGCAGGAGGACATCACTGCCCGTACCCCCAAAGGGCGCTACTCCCACGATTCTTTGAGTTGCTCCCCATGCCGCGGGCTTACAGATGACAGATGATGACAGTGGACATCATGAGAAACAAGCCTCCAAACAAGAAAGCTGCCACTCCTCAATCCCCATCCTTACCCCATGAACGATGTCATATTATATATGTCATGGAAGATTCCACCAACCTTTTGCCTTTACAAATCGCTTCAGGGAGTGATGACTCCGATGTCACTCCGATGTGGCGACCTTGCTCAGACACGGACACCGTGCGCCGGGCGAATTCCGGGCATTGTGTTTTGATGTTTGAGATTTTGTCATAATGTGATCAATAAGGAGGAATTATACATTTGTTGATTGAATTGACCCGAAGTAGTTGCAAAGGATGTTTGCTAATGTTTGCTGTATTCTGTTGACCATGCGCTGCCGCAATATTTGCAGCATTACTGTAGAGTAGGATGTAGAGACCGGAATTGTGCTAAAGCAAGCATTGGCAACCCGGCAGTGACTCTGTACAAGCTGTTGAGTCAACTGCGAATGGGCTTGTGAATCACGATTTTCTCTAACTTCTCCAGGTTTGAGAGTGACATTGTTGAAAGGCTTCAAACTCATACGTGGCTTTATGCACAATGCACACTCAAAGCACAATGGAAATTTAGAGCCAAAAGAACTGTGAACTGCTTGGCTGATGGCACGATGCACTGGTGCATGCCTCAGCAAAATCGCCTCAATCGTTGAGAAGCCTCAGCACACGGTTGAGCCAAGGCCACGGCCCAAATCCGGGTGAGAGCCACAGAGATGCCCAAGTTCACTCTGGAATGAGCAGAGAATGTCATTGTGAACCAACTTAGGTTTGAACACTCTGAAGAGACGCGTGAAGTCCCTTGGCCAGTATAAGTTTGGATTTGAGTGCACTTCTGCTGAACGAATTTCTCGATTCGGTGGTTTGGTCAACCCTGCTTATGGCAAGGGTCTCATCCTGTCACGTCGTGGATGTTTGCGTGTGTCCAGGTAAAGAAGGACGTCAACTGGACGCGGCCAGGTGTGGTGGTGCAATGATGTGTAATGATACAATTTGCTTGTTTGTATGCAAGAGAACAGGAAGACAAATAAGTGTTTGAGCCAGAAGAGTAAAATGAAGAACAAAAGGCAAAAGGAAGAAACATGTATATGTGGACTCCGTGGACCTTCAGAATCGAAGGTGTCTTAGATGACATCGTCAATGTACCTTTAGTGTTTGCACCCAAGTTGTTGGCTTCACATAACCATTGTTGTGTTGGCAAATGCTTCAGACGAGGCCCCCAGCCAATTTGGTGACTCGATTGCACTTGTTTCTGGTTTTCACAACTTGCTTTTGTAATTTTTGTGTGTTCTGCAGGCAGACCCTGCCAATCCTGTAGGCACCTGGTTGAGTGAGAACGTTCGATGCAAAGAACACACACCCACTGGTTCCAGAAACATGATGCCCAGAGAAATTGCAGGTGCCGGCTGCTTTGACACCTGCGGGCAAGTGCTGGAGTGTGGCGACCCGTTGTCCCATTTGTCAAACATGTGGACAGCATTTAGAGAATGAAAAAAATAGAAACTATGTCCTGGGCCAAGGTGTCAGAAAACTACCCTCACTTTGGCTGAGCCGGGCGTTTCTCTTAGCATGAGCATGCTTGAAATACAGAGGAGGGTTAGTCGTTCGTCCTGTCTTAGCAAGACTTTGTGAACAGGCTCGGGTGATCGCGAGGCGCAGCAGCCATGACACTCATGCCGGCACATCACAGTGGCATGCCATGGCCATGTGCGCGCCATGTGAGGTGGAACATTTGTGGCAAGACCTGGAACGCGAGCAAAACATTGAGGCGAGGGCACATGTTGATCATTTTGGGCACCGCAGCAACATCCGGGTAAAGCCAGAAGTCCTGTTCTGAAAGCTGAAAGGGCCCATACAAGATAGGAAAGGGTCACTATTATAGTGCTGTTTGTGCAATTCTGTTCCTGGGGGATACTGCTCGAGAGAATTTAGCAATCCTCACATTCTCATTGACCACACTGAGACAAGGTTTGGTTGCCCCTGTGAAGTGCTCCGAAACCTTATGCTAAGACCAAGTGCTGTTTTTAAAGACAGGTGTAGAATGACCCCAGTGCCCTGAGAAAGGAGGTTTTGTGCGCCCTTATGCGAGGGATGCTAGACCATGCCGGCCCTCAGCGATTTCATGATTCCAGTCCAAGAAGAGAACAGCCATTTCAGGCGGCTCTTCGGCAGCGCTTAGCCATCTTGGAGGCGAGTTTGGGAGTCCGTCCCACCCTTCTAAGTGGCCACCCAACTTGAGCAGTCTAGTCCAGCTCCGTGACACCCTTCAGACCCAGTCAACACGCGTTTTCTGGTTTCTCTAAGAGAATGTCCTGAAGCGTGTGACTCCTTTTGAGGTAGAGATTCAGGAATGTACCGAGTCAGAGTCCGGCCCACAGATGTGTGTTCCAACCAGATGCTTAGTGTGAATGGAAGAAATCCTGCACCATTACACTGGAAGCATCTATCTTTTTTTCGTTTTTTTTTTTTTAAACAGTACTGTTACCTTACCTTTCGATTTGGTTGTTGAGGCGGTCCCTCCGTTCTGCAGAGCAATTTGACGCGGGTTTGGACGGAGAGGTATGAATCAGCAAAGTGTGTGAACAACGAATTGAAAGCCGGGACTATCATTTCTACTTGAGATTATGCGAGATCCTTGTAATGCTAGCATGAACAGACTGCAAGTTCTCAATCTAGACTACATATACCGTACATATCCGTACATTGAAATTACATTCAATACAGTATAGTTCCGCTCCCAGACAGCACGATCAGTCAGCTTTCGATGATGTGGCAACAGGCGGAGGCACTTGGTGGGGAGCTGCATTCGCTATGTGCTTTTCCAAGTCGGTTTGCCAGCCAGAGAGGTTTGGGTCAAGCTCACAGGTTCGATCATCACTATTTAGGCTGGAGGCCATCGCTATTAGGTTGGAGGCCATCGCTCACACCGGCACACGTTGTCCCTCCTTTGCATTGCTTTGCAGATCTTTGCAGTAATTAGCCGCCGCTGGGCGTAACCAAGGCGAAGCTGTAGAGATGCTTCGGGTTGATAACAGTCAACTGCAGGAGCAGATTGGCAAGTCGACCGAAGCGCCTCTGTATGAATCTGCCAATTCATGCATTCGTTTCAACTGTTGTCAATTTCTTTCAATCCTTTCTCGCAAGTTTGCTTTGCCGTTTGAACATCAACAGGAGGAGCTCTCTAATTCGGAGACCCGAGAAGCGGAGTTGGCCATGGAGCTGTGGCAAATGCATAGAGCTTAGACATGCTTAGACCGTTATCCAGGCCGGAAAGATTGGAAAGGTTCATGTTCACCAGTCAAGGCTAGAAGTACTTTGTAGCAGAATACTTTGATCAATCTTGAACAAACCAGGAGCCTTGGCCTTGGCAGCCTTGGGATCCTGGTGGATCTTTCATTGTAATCTTCGTTTCGGAGCATAGGGGCTACGGCTCGGTCCGACACGCAGGGTCTTGGCATGTCGGACGTGCCTGGTTCGAGGCGAATACGAATGGAATCCGCACGTTCCGCATTCAGGCCGGGGTGAATTGAGTGTTTCATTTCCCAAGCAAGGTTGGTGTGGGTTGGTGGCCGGCAGGGGGCAAACTGTGCAAGGATGCAACTGTTTGTACAGCAGCTGAACATGTGCCAGGAATCCTTTTCAGTGATTGGTTGGCGTGGGCTGCACTGGGTCTGCAGAGCAGCAGACGTGTTGCTTTTTTCTGTACAAAGAAACCATTTGCGAATGTTGCTGCAAGTTGGGCAGAACAAGCTGATTCCGAGGGTGTTGTCAGATGGTAGGTTAATTCTACATACGAACATTGCCAATATTGCTAACCAAGCTTAAGGGGAAGATTGCCTTCATCGCTTTTTGTCCAATTTGCGCTGGGTGAAGCTGCACACCACGCCGTGGTGCAGCATAAGATTAAAACTGTTGAAAAAGGAAGGAAAAGAAGCTGCAAAGCTCTTGCAGCACAGTCTTGAGATGTTTCAGAGTGCAATGGATTGAGACCTTGGGGGCTTCTCACTCGAGTTCGTGCAGCAGGTCATTATTTTTGACTGGGACGACACACTCTTGTGTAGCTCAGCCATCAATGCACAGCAGTGGCGCCAAGATCAGGATCGGGTTTGCTGGTTTGCTTTCAGATTGCTGTTTTCAGATTGCTGTCCTAAGGATAGAAAGGCACACTCATCACAAAGCGTTCCCTTTGCACAAAGCCTCTTTGGTCCCAGCATTGGTAGTGAAGTTTGTTAGAAAGACTGGCTGTGGCATGCTGTGAACATTCCAGAAACACGATGACTTGTGCAGTTGGAGCAGCTGGAGTCTATGGTAGAGTCAATTCTTGAGACAGCGATGCATTTGGGTGAGACCGCCTTCCCAGCTAATTGCAGACAGTGCTTGTGAACCCGCAAGAAAAGACCCATGGAGGACCTTTGGAAACAGTCCCATGATCTCTCCAGCAGCCTGTTGTTTCTGCATGTTCTGGACACTGTCCGCTTGCTGTTTTTGATTGGTTTTGCTGTGGCAGAATCAGTGACAAATGAATGCTGGCCAGATGATCGTGACAAACGGCAATGCCTCTTGGGTGCAGGCCCCTAGCTGCTTTTTGTTGGCAATTAACATCACCACTACCTTAAAACTATATTTAAAGCTGCTCTTCGCAACCTTCGCAACTATTTTAATCTGCCAGATTTTGAGTATTTTCCATGCGCAGGATAGTGCTCGTCGATTTCTGCCAAACCTACACAAGATCCTCAGCCGAGTGACAGCAGCATTCTCGGTTTGGACAAACTGCAATTTGAGCGTGAACTGCATGTATCCAAAGTGAGGTGATGTCAGCTCGGGCAATTTATGAGCAGTCCTTCCCTGGAGATCCTTTTGCATGGAAGCGGCAGGCATTCAGGGAGGCTCGGCTTTGCAGTATCCATGAACGTGGTGGCTTCACACATGGCCTCTGCTGGTAGATTTTGGCCCGCCGACGTCAAGAAGGCGAGACCCACCGAAGTGAAGGTCTGACATCAGCGAGCTCAGAGTTGTGGTTGTATTATGTTGTATTTTATAGTATGTTTCATATTTGTTTGTCATCATCATCGTGGTTGTTTTGCTGTTGAGCTTGGCTCAGGCTACCACCCGGACGGAGTCAACCTCATTGTTTTGGGGGACTCGCCTGCAGAGATCCAGGCCAGATATTGGAAGGTCGTGCTGAGATAGGAGATTCGAAGGGGATGTTCGGCCGAACTGAACCCAACAACCACCCTGGCCGTAAGTCAGTTCGTCATCGGTGGAAGCTGTTTCAGGCTGCCAAGTCAGCGACAAAGGTGCTGTCCGGCAGGTGGGACTCTGGACAGCCCTTTTGCGGATTCAGACATTGAATGTCTCGTCAGGTCCATGGTCAAGACGGTGAAATTTAAAGAGGTGCTTTTTTTCGCTACTCTGCCCTGTTGCGCTGGTGCTTGTTTCATGTTGCCTTTGTAAAGACAATTGGTGAAGACAACGAAGAACACGCCTTCGGCGCCATCAGCAATTCATCCCACCTTCAGCGCCTTTGGCCGCCCGAAGACAAAAAGAGGCTCCTTCTGTGAATGAGTTGTTGGGCCAACTTCGCCGTGTCAGCAGCTCAGACAGGATGTCCAGTAGGAAAAGCCTTCGTAGAGACACTCACCTGCCTTCTTTTTACAGATGTTGCTTGTCACAAGCTGAGGTTGTTCAAGAGCTCGCTGCCATCGTACAGGAGGCAAGCTGTGAGTGTAGAGCGGCGCAGAATCTGTTTAGCTCTTTGCAGACTCCTGTTTTTGATTTTGCACCTCAGAAAGCAACCACATAGGCCATCACCACCAGCCCTGACCTCCATGTCCTACAGTCTTCGTTACCTTTGCCATGAGGGTTGGATTCGGAGTGTGGGAGCCTTGAATATCATTGTGTGGATTTGAACTTCAGCCCCTTAACACCCTGGGGCAAAACATATGGCCGTAATTAGGTCCAAACCCCAAACCCCGCACCCTGGTAGGTTTCACGAGATTTGCAAGTAATTGCAACCCCTGATGAACTGTTAAGCACCTGTTTGAGCCCAGTCTGTGTTGGAGCTCAAGCCAGGACCACAGCCTCAATCGAGGGCTGGTACAGCGCACATTCCCGGCCCCAGACTTAGTCAAATTCTTTTTGGTGGGTTATAGAGAGTTCTGGATGTGCCAGGGAAGCATGGATCAGCTCTCATCTTGGGCCTCCGGCTGGAGGATTTCGGAGACAGAGCTGCTTGGCTGCAAATCAAGTCATGCCGCAATGCCCTTGTTTGCAAGACATACGGACATACGTATGATTCTGGATGGTGTATGATTCATGATTCATGTCAATATAAGATGCATGTGTTCTGTCAGGACCAACTGTGATACCAACATGAGGGATTTGCGTCGCTGTCAATACCGGCTCTGAGATCACGTCTTCACACCCTAATCAAAGCGGGTTGGGATTCCGGCTGAATTAATAGTGATGGCCCACTCAGCCTTTCAGCAAGCGCTAACTCCAAGCGACCCTGTCACTCGCACGGGCATTCCAAGCGGAGTTATCTCCAGGGCAGGGACGATTCCTAACTGAACCTGTTGGTGTTTGTGAGTGCCATCAATCAGAACTTCACTCAAGGTTAAACCAACCAATTCAGACACATGTGCAGAATTCGCGAAAGGGCATCAGGATTTTTGGTGATTTTTGAGTCTCTGTAAATAGAAACAAACAAGTCTCCAAGTCTTCCGTCTTCCTGCTCTTCTTGAGTTTTGTCAGCAGCCTTCAGCCAGGACATGGGATAGCTATTCCCGAATGGCTGCGACTCTGCTGGTGGGTGCTTAATGCAAGGGACCAGGCAGGCTCAAAGCTTCCGCAGAATTATATCATATTCCTACGCTGGTCATACCTCCAACCGATCACATCAGTTTAAAGACACTCCGCACCCCGAGCCCCTTCGTGGGGGTCGTCGCTTCTAAATATCAGGTAACAAGGGCGGACGTTAGGAATCTCGAGACGGAAGGAATGTTGATTGTTTGACAGCAAAGCAAAATTCTTTGTTACAGTGCTTGCAAAACTAACTGGTGAATAGAACAGCCCTACGCAGGCTGGTGGAAGCCCATATGGGACCACACATTGCCGGCGCAAAATCTTTGAGGCTGGCAACAACTCAGTGAGCATAGTCCGTCGTACGTGTGTGTGTGTGTGTGTGTCAACCTCTGTAACTAAGAGTTCCTTTCCTTTTCCTTTTCCGTTTTCCACGTATGAGCAGGGGGACTGTCTACCCCACAGAAGTGACGGTCCAACGAAGAGGCTTCTGTGGCGGTACTGATATCACTGGAGACGTCCAGTGACGTACCTGCTGAACAACTGTTGACCACGCTGTCCAATTTGATCGGTTTGTTTCAGGGTCCTTCCACGTTTCTTCCCCTAAACCCACTTTCCTGCAGCTGAGCTCGTCACCGCACCGAATGTACAGATCGATTTCGAGGCCACTCGCAAACAATGTTCAACCATACTGTTGTCGCTGACTCACTCACCTTGCGTTTCCCTCACCTTCCTTCTCGACTTGGGAACTGAGTTAACTGAAAACCAATGTCAGAGTGTGACTCGCTCAGTCGTCCCACTTGGGTGCTGGGTGTGATCCTCCGCAAGGAGGCGCCGTATTCATGCCGGAACTCGTGTAACAGCTTCCATTCTTTCCTTCAAACCTGGGATTCTCTTAACCGCTTCCTTTTGGAGGGCATATTTCCGTGGGATATATTTTTTTTGGGTGGGATAATTTTTTTCTTTTAAGGGCTCTGGAAGGAAGGAAGTAAGGAAGGAAGGAAAGAAGGAAGGAAGGCAGGCAGGCAGGAAGGAAGGAAGGAGACGGAGAAGCAAGGAAGGAAGGAAATTGCACTTCAAAGGCTTTGCTGCACATCGAAGCAAAACGCTCCGATCTGACCCTGGGCCTCCCGCGAACAGTCGACTTCAAACCAGCTATGAACCGTGGAAGACCCCACAAAGGTGGATGCTATGGGCCACCAGCACGTAGAGGGATCACTTAGCTCAAAAACCCAATAGTAGCGCGTAAAATCCCAGTAGTACTAAATGAGAAACTGTCTAAAGCAACAGAATCAGAAGACTCAAACCCCCCCAAAAAAGCATCCCACTAAAAATAAAAAAATATATCCCGCTAAAAACCTGCAGCCCTTCCTTTGCCCTCGGGCTTGCACAGAGAGAATTCCTTTTCCCTTTTCCACGTATGAGCAGGGGGACTGTCTACCCCACAGAAGTGACGGTCCAACGAAGAGGCTTCTGTGGCGGTACTGATATCACTGGAGACGTCCAGTGACGTACCTGCTGAACAACTGTTGACCACGCTGTCCAATTCGATCGGTTTGTTTCAGGGTCCTTCCACGTTTCTCCCCCTAAACCCACTTTCCTGCAGCTGAGCTCGTCACCGCACCGAATGTACAGATCGATTTCGAGGCCACTTGCAAACAATGCTCAACCATACTGTTGTCGCTGACTCACTCACCTTTTCATTCCGGAACTCGTGTAACGGCTTCCATTCTTTCCTTCAAACCTTGGATTCTCTTAACCGCTTCCTTTTTCACCACTGGATCGACTGACTCACCAGCCACCGGGCTTGCACGGAGAGAATTACTCAACTACATGTTTCTGATTGCAGCTTGCTTTGACTTTCAAGAGTGTACAGTGTCACATTTTCCACCACAGTCAGTTTGCGATCAGGCATATTAAAAAACAAAGGAAAACAGTCACCCCTTGCTACACGAGCGCCAGATTCGGCGTCGTGTGTGTGTCGACCTCTGTAATTAAGAGTGCCTTTCCTTTTCCTTTTCCGTTTTCCACGTATGAGCAGGGGGACTGTCTACCCCACAGAAGTGACGGTCCAACGAAGAGGCTTCTGTGGCGGTACTGATATCACTGGAGACGTCCAGTGACGTACCTGCTGAACAACTGTTGACCACGCTGTCCAATTTGATCGGTTTGTTTCAGGGTCCTTCCACGTTTCTTCCCCTAAACCCACTTTCCTGCAGCTGAGCTCGTCACCGCACCGAATGTACAGATCGATTTCGAGGCCACTCGCAAACAATGTTCAACCATACTGTTGTCGCTGACTCACTCACCTTGCGTTTCCCTCACCTTCCTTCTCGACTTGGGAACTGAGTTAACTGAAAACCAATGTCAGAGTGTCCACACCTGTACCAAAGGACACTCACCATTGCACGGGAATTCATGCTCTCCTAGTATTTTTCCACTAGCCAAGCAGGGGGCCACAGACCTGCCACTGCCGCTGTGGCCAACGAAGACCGGCAGTGGCAGGTGTGAAAACGTACCTGCGCCAATGTTTAAGCGTTCCTTCGGCAGACTTGCACTTGAGCTTTTGTCCTCACTTCCGTTTAAGGCCCCCAAAATCTTAGGCTTCGCCTGTCAAGGTCTAACTGCACTGGTAATGTAATCACTAGAGTGGGCTGCCACAACTGATTTGGCTCTTGCGAGCATGAATCTAAGTGCGCTTCACCACAGAGTCCCACTGCGGGGCCGTGGTGTGATCCCCAGCGAGGGACGCAGCATGTGCACTTGCCCGTCAGGGTGACCCTCAGCGACTTCTCGCTTTGTATCTGGAACTTCTTCAGGAACTTCTGGATTAACGCGCTTGCTTTAAAATGCTGAATGTAGGCCGCAGGGCTCACTAAGATTCACTTTCAGAGAACGCTAAGTATTCACATGCCATGCTGCTAAGTATGCATAGGCCATCGGACTTTTCGGTTCTTTCTCTCCTGCTGTTGCTCTTCGTTTTCTCGGGCTTCTTTCGTT